TGAGAAAAAGATGCATGCAATGTAGACAACTGATGAATCCATATTTTTACTGATATTTTAGCATAATTCTAGCTCATTTAATAAGGAAAATATATGAAGAAAGCAGAAAAACTCAGAAAAAGAGAATGATTGAAAGTTTTATTTCAATTTGTAGTTATTTTCGCATTTGTAGAATTTATGCTTAGTTCTTAAGGAATTTATCTTGTTTTGAAGGAATAAGCTGAGCAAAAGTCATGGAAATGGAGAATCAATGGGAAGGAAGAGGAAGAATGGCAATGCTGGACTCCAAAATACAAGAATTATGGGTTGCAGCCTGGGCGTGATCACTATTGTTAGTGAAAGTGATCATTCCAGAGCCTAAAGGAGAAGAAGAGCCTTGCGTAATCACTTTTATTTACAAGAGTGAGCGTTGCCAGTGTGCGTTATCACTTTCGCCAGCGAAAGTGAACGTTCCAGAGAAGACTCTATTCCTAAGGAGCTGCGCGTTGTCACTTTTGCCAGCGAAAGTGAGCGTTCCAGAGGCACTTGTATCAGGACAGCTTGCGCGTGGTTACTATTACTCACGAAAGTGATCACGCGCAGCCCTTGACCTCCTGCGTTGCCACTATTCTGAATAAAAGTGAATGTTCCAGAGAAGCCTTCAACTCTGCAAGTTGCGCGTGGTTACTCTTGCTCTTGAAAGTGAACACGCGCACTACATAAAGCTTCTGCGTGGTTACTCTTGTGAAGAAAAGTGACAACGCGCAGAACTGGGTTTCTATAAATACATGATTGAAGCGCGAAACTGGGGGGTTTTTGCTCATTTTCTGTTTTGTTAGTTAGAGTCTCGTTGAGAGAGAGTGGAGAGAAGATTGGGGTCGAAGCTTGAAGCTCCAAGAAGAGGGATCGGATTGGAGCTCGTGGCCATGGCTGCTTTGCATTCTTCTTCATCTTCTTCTTCTTCTTTCTCTGTTTTTGTTGCAATGTGTGCTTAATTTCCCATAGTTAGGGGTTAATGGAACTCGAATTGATGTATTGATTCGACTTTATCTTCTGAACTTTAAGTTCTTGGATTAATTGAGTTGTTAATTCTGCTTTTCATGCAATCTCTGAATGGAAATTCATTTGATTAATCAAGAGGAATCTTTACCAATGGGAATTGGATTGTTTGCTCCGATCTGAATTGGCAACCAGAGTTTAGGGATTTCTTAGGGATAAGGAGACCTAATTCTGCAATCTTATAGTTCTAATTCTTAATGCAACCTGAAATTGAATCTCACCTAAGGGATTAGGAAGGTTTAGTGGATTGTTAGGGTCAATGAGTTAAGGAATTAACCTTTGGCTAGATATATGTAAAACTGATTGTCAATTATTCAATTGCTTGAATGTTCAGAGGATTTAATTGGATTGATATTGATATTCTTATGAAGTAAATTCCTAACTATCCTTCATTGCTATTTCATTTCATCACAAATCTTATACTCTGTTTCTCTGCAAGTTCTTTGCTTTAATTGCTTTGGTTTATTGTTGTTATATGTTACAAATCTCCTTCAAAAATTCGTATGGCTCAAATGGTTATAATTCTGTGAAGTGGTACTTGAAACCTAAATTCCCTGTGGAGACGATATTCTGATCTTAAATTTACTCATCACTTGCTGCAATCCTAGTGCACTTGCTAGTGTTAGATTGCAAACAACAAGTTTTTGGCGCCGTTGCCGGGGAAATTAGAGTTTCAATATCATTAGTAACATAAGAATAGCTAGATTGAGTATTTTGTTCTCTGAATTTCTGTAGTAGTAGTCTGTAGTTAGACATTTTGTCCATTCTGCATAATTCTGCAACTTTTAAACTTGTGTTTCAATTACTTTTACTGATATTTGCTGCATAATTTTCGTGGTGCAGTTCTGAATACTAACTTGTAGTTTACTTTTGCTTCATTTTGAATTGTATATGCGTGGCAAAAACAAAAACAAATCAACTCTAGTCTTTGATCCTGACATAGACATAACCTTAAGGAGATTGAGAAAAGAGTCTAGAGCAGAAAAAGCCATAGGGAGTGATAGTGAGTTAGAAGCTGTCCATTCTCCAGAATCTCAGAGTAATCCTAGAGTGAAAAGAACACCTACATCTTTGAGACAACTAAATTCAGAAATAGAGATGGCAGAACAAAATAGAATTAGAACATTAGGGGACTATGCAATTCCTAACATGCAAGGTTTTAACTCTTCTATAATCAGGCCAACTATTCAAGCCAACCATTTTGAGATTAAACCTGCTTTATTACACTTAGTCCAACAAGATCAGTTTTCTGGTGGAAATTCTGATGATCCTAACTTACATATTTCAAATTTTCTACAGCTATGTGACACTATAAGAATAAATGGGGTTAGTGAAGAAGCCATCAGACTGAGACTATTTCCTTTTTCTTTGAGAGATAGAGCAAAATGCTGGTTACAAGCTCAACCACAAGGATGCATCACAACCTGGACAGAACTTGTGAATAAGTTTTTAACCAAGTACTTCCCTCTATCCAAAGCTGCTAAGTTGAGAGGAGAAATTACATCCTTTGTGCAGCAAGAAGGAGAATCATTGTATGAAGCTTGGGAAAGATACAAAGAACTGCTTAGAAGGTGTCCACATCATTGTATTTCAGATTGGATGCAATTGGAAACTTTTTATAATGGGATGAACGCAGTAACAAGAACAATGGTTGATGCTGCTGCTGGAGGTTCATTAAATACAAAGTCCTTGGAAGAAGCTCAAAGGATTATTGACATGATGGCATCTTCAATGTATCAGAATTCAAACTCAAGGAATCAAGGAAGAAACTCTGGTCATGAAGCTAAAGTTCTGGAAACTTTTCTTGCACAAAATCAGCTACAAAATCAAATGTTTTCAGAACAATTAGCTGCCTTAACACAACAAATCAACAATCTGCAAACAGGGAGTATGCCTAACAGTCAGCTAAGTTGTGATTTTTATGGAGGAAACCATGCAAATGGTGCATGTGAGGCATCCACAAGTGAACCACAAGAGCAAGTGAATTATATGAATAATTTTCAAAGATAACAGCCATCATATCCCCCTGGATTTCAATTTTCGAATAATAGAACTCAGCAGTATTCTAATTGGAATAATCAATACTCTGCTGCAAAGAATTCTAATTCAAATTTGCCTTTTTCTAATGCAGGTCCAACAACACAACAGCCTTATTTTCAGAGGAATTCATCCACTCAACCTCAAGGAAATCAGAAATTTTCCAGACCTATGAATGAGAGGTTGACTGGGATGGAAGAAACTATGCTGCAATTCATGAAGGTGACTCAAACAAGCTTCAAAAACCAAGAAGCTTCCATGAAGAAACTAGAGACACAGATTGGACAATTAGCTGAACAATTATCCAGCAGGGATGAAGGAAGATTTCCAAGCAATACAGTAATCAATCCTAAAGAGCAATGTCAAGCCATAACTACAAGGAGTGGAGCTGTAGTTGCAAGCCCTAAACCAGCAGAAAAGAAAGTGAATGATGTAGTAGAAAGAAATATTGAACAAGATCTGCAACAAGGAAATTTTAAGCTATTGAAGAAAGACCATTCAGAAGAAAAAGAAAAAGTTCCCATGAATTCTGAAAGGAAAACCAAAAAGCAACTCCTTGAGGAAGCTTGTAAGCCAATAGACCCAGAAAAATACAAGAGGCTACCCTATCCTTAAAGAGTCCAAAATCCTAAACAAGAGGAACAATTTGAAAGGTTTATGAATGTCTTTAAGAAATTACAAATTAACATTCCTTTTGCAGAAGCTTTGGAGCAAATGCCTTCATATGCAAAGTTCATGAAAGAACTACTTTCCAGAAAAAGGAAGCTAGAGCATGACAAAACAGTACCTTTGACAGAGGAGTGCAGTGCCATTCTTAAGAGAAAGCTTCCTCAAAAGTTGAAAGATCTTGGATCATTTAGCATTCCTTCTGAAATAGGAAACTGCACTGTGGGAAGAGCATTGTGTGACTTGGGAGCAAGCATAAATCTGATGCCATTAGCTGTTCTGCAGAAACTTGGAATAGAGGAAGTGAAGCCTACCAACATTACACTGCAGCTAGCTGATAGATCATACACTTATCCATATGGAGTTGTTGAAGATTTATTAGTTAAAGTTGATAAGTTCATTTTTCCTGCAGATTTTGTAATTCTGGACATGGAAGTGGATTCTAACATTCCTTTGATCCTAGGGAGGCCATTTCTTGCAACTGGAAGAGCTTTAATAAATGTGCAAAAAGGTGAACTTATGCTTCGAGTTCAAGATGAGAAGGTAATATTTAATGTGTTTGAAGCTTTAAAATATCCAGTTGAAGATAATACATGTATGAAGATAGATATACTGGATACTTTCATTACACAACACCATATGAAAGATTTTGATGAAATTGCTGTGTTAGAAGAGATAATATCTGCAGGGAATGACAAATCTGAAACTCTGAATGAAGAAGATATCATGGAAATGCAGCAGCAATTGGAAGCTCTGCCGATCCAAAAATCTGCAGAAAATTTAGTGAAAGAAGAGCTGAAAAAGGATGGTAAAGAAGAGGAAAGGCAAAGGTTAGAACTGAAACAACTCCCTTCACACTTGCGGTATGCATTTCTGGATGAGAATCATGAAAATCCAGTCATCATCAATAATGAACTTAAGGAAGAACAAGAGGAAAAATTGCTCAGAATTTTGAGAGAACACAAATCTGCAATTGGATGGAGTATTGCAGATCTAAAAGGTATAAATCCCTCATTTTGTAAGCACAGAATTTTATTTGAAGAGAATGTTAAACCTGTTGTGCAGCCACAAAGGAGGTTAAACCCAGCCATGAAAAAGGTAGTTAAAAAAGAGGTCATAAAGCTGTTAGATGCAGGAATAATATACCCTATTTCTGATAGCAATTGGGTAAGTCCAGTCCAAGTTGTTCCAAAGAAAGGTGGTATGACAGTGGTACCTAATGAAAAGAATGAACTTGTCCCTACTAGGACTGTGACTGGATGGAGAATGTGCATAGACTATAGAAAATTAAATGATGCAACTAGAAAAGACCATTTTCCACTACCATTTGCAGATCAAATGTTAGAAAGACTTGCTGGACATTCATTTTATTGTTTTCTTGATGGGTATTCAGGATATAATCAAATAGCTGTAGATCCTTTAGATCAAGAGAAAACTGCATTTACATGTCCATTTGGAGTCTTTGCATATAGGAGAATGCCATTTGGTTTGTGTAATGCCCCTGCCACTTTTCAAAGATGCATGCTTTCTATTTTTTCTGATATGGTAGAAAACATCATAGAAGTGTTCATGGACGATTTCTCTGTTTTTGGTGATTCTTTTGATGATTGTTTAGCTAATCTATCCACTGTTTTGCAGAGATGTCAAGATACTAACCTTGTGTTAAATTGGGAGAAGTGCCATTTCATGGTACAAGAAGGCATTGTCCTTGGTCATAAAATTTCAGAGAAGGGAATGGAGGTGGACTAAGCTAAAATAGAAGTCATTAGTAAATTGCCTCCACCTGTCAATGTTAAGGGAGTTAGATGTTTTTTTGGACATGCTGGTTTTTATAGAAGATTCATAAAAGATTTTTCCAAGATTGCTAAACCCTTGAGTAATTTACTTGTAAAAGATGCAAATTTCATATTTGATGATAATTGTTTGCATGCATTTTCTGTTTTAAAAGAGAAACTGATTTCTGCACCTATTCTTGCAAAACCAGATTGGAAATTACCTTTTGAACTCATGTGTGATGCAAGTGATAGTGCAGTGGGTGCTGTTTTAGGACGGAGGAAAGATAGGAAATTACATGCTATATATTATTCAAGCAAAGTGTTAAATCCTGCACAAGTGAATTACACAACAACAGAAAAAGAACTTTTAGTTGTTGTATATGCTTTTGATAAGTTCAGATCATATTTAGTGGGTTCAAAAGTGATTGTATACACTGATCATGCTGCTCTTAAATATCTTTTGACAAAACAGGATGCAAATCCCAGATTATTAAGATGGATTCTACTCCTCCAAGAATTTGAGCTAGAGATCAAAGACAAAAAAGGAAAAGAAAACAGTGTTGCCGACCATTTGTCAAGATTACCACTTGAAGTCATACCATTTGGAGTGGAACAAATTAAAGAAGAATTTCCAGATGAAAGCCTATTCAAGATTGAATCACAGCCCTGGTTTGCTGATATAGCCAACTTTAAAGCTACACACCATGTTCCAAATTGGATGAATTGGCAGCAGAGAAAAAAATTCTTCCATGATAGCAAATATTATGTTTGGGAAGATCCACTACTGTTCAAAATTGGAATAGATGGATTGCTGAGAAGGTGTATACCAGAGGAAGAGCAGCAAGATGTTTTGTGGCATTGCCACAGTTCAGAATATGGAGGACATCATGGAAGTTCAAGAACAGCAGCAAAAGTTTTGCAATCTGGTCTTTTCTGGCCAACTTTGTTCAAAGATGCTAAGAACTATGTGGAAAGGTGTGATAGATGCCAAAGAATGAGGAATATATCTAGAAAACATGAGATGCCATTACAAAATATACTTGAAGTAGAATTGTTTGACATGTGGGGAATAGACTTCATGGGTCCTTTCCCTACCTCATTCTCAAATGAGTACATGCTTGTAGCAGTGGACTATGTGTCCAAATGGGTGGAAGCAATTCCTACCAGAACCAATGATGCTAAGACTGTTATTGCGTTTATCAAAAAGAACATTTTTTCAAGATTTGGAGTGCCCAGAATTCTGATAAGTGATGGAGGAAGCCATTTCTGCAACAAATATCTAGAATCAGTCCTAGAGAAGTATGGAGTAAAGCATAGAATAGCTACACCCTATCACCCTCAAACAAGTGGTCAAGTGGAGGTTTCCAACAGAGAAATAAAACATATTTTGGAGAAAATAGTTAGTAGTTCAAGGAAGGACTGGTCTAAGAAAGTGGATGATGCTTTGTGGGCATACAGGACAACTTTCAAGACACCAATTGGCATGTCTCCTTATCAATTAGTATATGGAAAAGCCTGCCATTTACCAGTGGAACTAGAACATAAAGCTTTTTGGGCTGTGAAATGGTTGAATTATATCAAGTGAGTGCAGGAAAAGATTGTTACAGTTGCATGAATTAGACGAGTTTAGACTCAATGCATATGAAAATGCCAAAATGTATAAGGAAAGGACCAAAAAGCTGCATGACAAGTTTATTCTAAAAAGAGATATAAAACCTAGGCAGTCTGTTTTGCTTTTTAATTCAAGGTTAAGATTGTTTTCAGGGAAATTAAAATCTAAGTGGTCTGGACCTTTTGTGGTGAAAGAAGTATTTCCATATGGTGCTGTACTAATAGCAGATCCAAAGGATGGGAGAGAGTTCAAGGTGAATGGACAAAGACTAAAAATCTATCATGGAGGTCAAATTGAGAAAGTCCAAGTGTGCTTGAAATTGGTTCCTCTTGAGTGAGGAACAACTAATGTCAAGCTAGTGACATTAAAGAAGCGCTTTGTGAGAGGCAACTCACATTTCTAACCCAATTTAACTTTTCTGCATTAATTTTGAATTAACAGTGTTCATAAGAAATCAAAAGTCTGCACTTTTCATCTTGGTTACCTTGCTGAATTTGATGTTTGGAATAAATCTGGTGGCTGAAACAAGAATGCAGATTGGAATTAATTAGAATGCTTAAAGTTCTTGTACAGTCTGAATAATAGTTATCAAATTCTGCAAAATCTCTGAAAAATACAAAGTTCTGCATCATACTCATCATATTCTATAATTTTGGTGCAAAAGGTAAATTTTGAAGCATGTTAAATCTGTCATTTGTAGCGAATCTGATAAATGCAATTGGACTTCATACTATAATGTGTTATGGAAAAGTCAGAATTGCATTGTGAATATGTTAAGTAGAAATTCTGCAGAATTCAGCCTTGGATGAATGTTGCATATGTAATTAAAGGTGAACATGATGAGGGAAATAGGTATTTTATATGGTAAGTGTGTATTGGAATGATTATGATTTGTTAAGTGAGCCAATTAAAGTTTGGAGAACTTGGATTGATGAAAGGAATCACTCTTTTGCAAGAAAGCAATCAAGCAGAGATGGAATTCTGAGATTTCCCCTCTGGAACAATCACTCTCGCTGATGAGAGTGATAACGCAGAAACTGACTGGGAAACACAGCTCTCTAGAACAATCACTCTCGCTGATGAGAGTGATAACGCAGAGGCAGATGGGAAAAACACACTCTCTGGATCACTTCCTTTCCTTGTCAAGAGTGATCACGCGCAGGTAAGTATAGAATATTTCATAGCGCGTTACTCCTTTTACTGATAAAAGTACCTACGCTCAAGCAATAAGCTTGCGCGTTATCACTTTGCCCAGCAATAGTGATAACGCGCATTGCATTCAAAATTTTCAAGCTCTCTGGAACACTCTCTCTGTTCGACAAGAGTGATAACGCAGAATTTTATTAATAAGGGAACGTTCACTTTTCACTTAAAAAGTGGGCACGTGCACACGCGTGACCCCAGATTCAATATAAAGGAACCACGCTCACATCCATTTAAACCTAAATCCCATTTCCCTCTGAATTTCTCTGACTTTTAATCTTTCGTGAAGCAACCAGCAAGCAATTTCTCCCTCTTTTTCATTGTCATTCACATTTTTGAAGCTCCAGGTACGCTCTCTGCATTCTCTGAAATTGTATTTAGGGTTTTTCTTTGCTGCAACTCTGGAAAAATGTCAAAAATGGCAAATGGGGAAATATCTTGAGCGTAATTGATATAAGTAACTTTAAATACTGTGAATAGGGTTTCAAAGTCATTCAATCTCCTCTGTTAACATATGCACATCTGCATTATGCGAAAAAATCTGAAAATGACTTTGAAAGAAATAGAAATATTCCAGTTGCCATCAGCGAAAATACTCCTTGCATGCAATATTTGAATGTTGATGTCTGAACTGAGTTGTATGGAATGAGTTACTGTTGTATATTGCACTGCATGATTGTACAGATACCATACTGATAGTCCTGCATTAAACTGATCTTTAGTCTTTGATGATAATGAATGAGTGCATTGTTCTAATTGTGTGTGATTCACAGAAACAATAGGCAATATTTTGGATGGAATTTTACTGTCAGAAAAAAATTTCTTTTAGGAACCATTAGTAGTTGAATTTGGTTGAAAATTGTGATTCTTTTTCTGCATTCTTGGTGAAATTGTGAACTTTGAGTTTACAAATTATGAAGGCCAGTTTAAAATCCCCTGAATATGGTTTGATTAATTTTGTACCTAAGTTCTGGTATATCTGAAAAGTTAAGAGAGCATGTAAAAAAATATGTTGATGACCTATAATAGCATCTCTGTGTTAACCTGATGTGCTTTGAGAGTGTGCACTCTAAACTACAAATTTAAAGGTTTAACCAATTTTGACTGTGATTGCTTAGTAATTTACAATAATGCTTGTGTGTTGATATGATTACATTTTCATGACAGCAACTGATTGTAAATAAATAAATACTGCAAGTTGGAATTCTTCACATGGATTGATTGAAATTATCTAGTAAAGAGATGTATATTATCACAATTCTGTGTCATGAATTTTAAACTGTCAAATTACTTGCTTGTTTTTGCAGCCACTTCAAAATGGTCAGAACTTCTTTGAATACACCAGTTGGACCTTCTAAGAAGACCAAAGCTGGATCTGCCAGCAACACTCCAAGAAGGAGATCTATCAGGAATATGCAAGCTGGAACAACCAGGAATTATTCAACCACTGAAAGAGCAAGAACTGATGGTGTCTCACCTTCCTCACCCATTGAAATCGCTGACCCTCCTCAGCCAAGTGTAACCACACCTGCAACCTCATCACCACCTCAGCCGACCAGAAGAAATGCTCATTCTACCTCTACCTATACTGATCATGATCCAAGGTTCAGGAGTATAGCTCACGAAAATTATTTCAAGGCAAATATTCTGAGGAGGAAGATTGTCCCAGATAGAGCCTTTGAAATTGCTGAAGGAAACTACCCTGAGTACTCAGAAGAAATTCAGAAAAGGGGATGGGATAACTTCTGCTCCTTGGCTGATAATGGTTGGAGAGAAATTACACTGGAGTGTTATGCAAATGCAATGCGGTTCAAGGGAGACCAAATTCCCAAATTTCACACAATGGTCAAGGGTATGAGGGTGGATTTCACTGCTGCCAACATCATTCAAGTGTTGGAAATTTACACTGAAAGACAACCTGGGCAGATGGACTTCACTGACTTTAAGAATAGTCAAGACAAGGATTATATTGAAATCCTGCACAGAATTGGAAGGCCAGGCACAACTTGGCAGCTGAACCTCGCCCAGAAACCTAAGTGCATCACCACCAAGAACCTACTACCATTTGCTAAAGTCTGGAGTACCTTTCTATTGAATTCTTTCATGCCAGTCAAGCATAGTTCAACCCTGGCAGTAAAGAGGGCTGAATTATTGTTTGCTATTGTTAATGATATGTACATTGATGCAGGGGAAGTAATTAGTGAATGTATCTTAAACATTCTGAAAACAAAAAGAGATTCACTAGCCTTTCCCTCATTAATCACTTTACTTTGTGAGGATGCAGGGGTTGAAGTTGGAGACTACCAAGAGAAAATCAGATCTGCTCCCCCTATCTCTGTCTCAATGGTAAAGGAAATCTATGCCACCACCTCCTGCACTTCAGCTGCACCTATCCCTACTCAGTTCAGAAAGGAGAAACCAATGAAGATGAAGGACATCCTACATCTTTTGGTTGAAAGGCAAAATCAATTGGCTGAACGACAAACTGAGCTCCACAACAGTTTGAAGGCAGGAACTATGCTAGTGTAATGTGTGTTGATGAATCTTGGTCAGAAGATGGGAATGACCAAAGATGAACTTTATCACACACCAGACTTGGCTGAGAATGCTCAATGTCTACGCTCATCAGTTTTTAAAGACTTGCCAATATACAAGACTCATTTTCCACAGCCAACTGAAGAAGTGGTGGAGGAAGTAGAAGATGAGGAGGATGAGGAAGAAGATAAAGATGAAATTTCTGATGAAGAGGATGCCCAAGATGACTAGTTTAGGATTTTTTGTTTTCTTTTCTGTTAATTCGAATTTTCTCTTGATGGTTTTGTAATTAAGTTTCAAACTTTTTGGTTTCATTTTAGAATTTGGGTTTGTAATTTGCACACTTGGTATATTTTGGTTTCATGCTAATTCTAAACAATTATGTTTTGAACACACATTAATTATGCAGAATTCAATCCCTTCTTCACTTGCTAATTGACAAAATTTTTGGTGTTTTGTGCTGAAAATGTCACACTCACACAACACTCACACACATTGGCTGATGACACCTGCACAAGCTGCCATGAAAGGGGGGTTATTCCTTACCTCTTGATTCATGTGTTAGCTACACAATACACTGAAAATTTACTGATAATAGTCTAGGTTATGAGCTGTTTTCTGCAAATTAACTGCAAGATGAGTGACAATTTTGTGAATTCTGTGTGAATTTTTTTTTTAAGTTGTTTTTCCCATTCTCAAAATGAGATCACACTTGTATTTTCAAAAATGAGGCAGTTGCCACTAGGTGCATAAATTTCTGAAAAGTGCATTGTGTTTTCATTAATCCACATGATCACTTATAATACCTAGTGAGATTTGAGCTGTCTAATTCTTTTCTTGTGTGATTAATCATATTTGGCTGTATTCTCTAGAACTTGCCCTTGTTCTTAATTGAATGTGCATGCTACAGTTTTCACCCACATGATAGAGGCCATGTTTGATTATACCTAGTCAGCCTAAAGGCCTTCCTTTATGATTGAATATCTTAGTTCACCCTTTTAAGCTTAATATCCCTTTTCTTGAAATTACCTCATTATAAGCCTTGCTGAAAAACCAATTTTTACCATTCAAAAGATCAAAGGCATAATGAGTTTAATCAAGAATGAGTTTTAAAACTAAGTTTGGGGTGGCATCCAGATTTTAATTGCTTGAGGACAAGGAATGTTCTAAGTTTGGGGTGGGAAATAGCATGCTATATAAGTTTGAGTTCAACAAACCAAAAAGAAAGAACAAAAGTGCTGCAGTAAAATGAAAAATTTATGAAGCAAAGCTGTGAAAAGAATAAAAATGTGAGTTCAAAAGAAAAGAAGTGCAGCAAAGTGCTGCAGAAAAGAA